GGAGCAGCGTCCGGTCGAGGCTGATGACCGTTGAGTCTGGACACGTGGCTGACATCAAGCGACCGGACGCTGAGAGCCAGCGTCCGGTCAGTCTGACCGGAGCGTCCGGTCAGAACGCGTTTTGCCCAGTGAAGGGGTATAACGGCTCTATTTGATGGGGGCTCTATTTATAGCCCCATGGCCGGCTCAATGGACAACTCTTGCACATTTTCATTGACATAGCAACCTTGTGAGCTTAGCCAAAGCCCTCCCACTCATCTCCATCATTGATCCATCATCATTGTGAGATTGGGAGAGAATCCAAGTGCATTGCTTGAGTGATTGCATCTAGTGGCACTTGGTATTCGTGTTGCGCTGCGGATTTCGCTTGTTTCTCTTGGTGGTTGCCACCACCTAGACGGTTGGAGCAGCGGTGAAGGATCGGCACGAGTTGGTGATTGTTCGTGGCCGCCTTCGGTGATTGTGAGGGGAGTTGTACCTTCCCCGGCGGAGTGCCGAAAGGTAACTCTAGTAAATTGCTCGTGTCATTGAGTTACCTCACGTGTGGGTCGGTTCTTGCGGTGTCCTATCGTGTGGACGAGGTTTGTGAAACACCTCTTAGCCGCCGAACCACCAAGTGTTGGTCGACACAACGGGGACGTAGCGTGTTGGCAAGCACGTGAACCTCGGGAGAAAATCGATTGTCTCTCTTCTTTGTCATTCTCCCGGTGATTGGCTATATATTCATCTTGTGATTGGTTCATCCCCTACACGTTGGTATAATCACTCTACTCGCTCATTTACATTCTTGCAAACTAGTTGATACAAGCTCTTTAGTGTAATTAGAATTGAGAGCTTGCTTTATTATTTACATTCATCTAGTTGAGCTCTTTAGAGTAGCAAGGTTGAGAGCTCTTAGTGAGTAATTACATAGCTAGTTTGTGTGCCTAAGTATTCATTGCAACTAGAATTGTTGGATAGGTGGCTTGCAACCCTTGTAGAGCTAGAGCAAGTTTGCATTACGCTATTTGTCATACTAATCAAATTGCTCTAGTTGATTTGTAGATTTTTAAATAGGCTATTCACCCCCCCTCTAGCCATATTAGGACCTTTCAACACGCCGGCCTGCCGCTGCTGGCAGCCCGGCCCTGGCACCGGGTCCACCCCTCGAACGCTCGACCTCGGCTGAGGTGTGGCCAGCCGGCGAGGCTCAGGCGGCGGCAGCAGGGTGCACCACCATGGGAGGACGGCGAGACGGTGGTGACCGGTGAGAGGGCGGCGACCGGCGCGGTGGTGGCAGACCTAGAGTTTGCAGCAGGGCGCGGCTAGCTAAGGAGCTCCGCGCGAAGGGAGTCGAGCTGACACGCCGACGCGTAGTGATGCTGCCCTCGCGATGCTCCTTTTCCTGTCCTTGTGCTTCTCTCTCATATCTCCTCTTTGATTGCTTGCTGGGCCGGATGGCAATGGCCCAACGCCTAGGGCTGGGCCACAAGAATACATATATTACAAGGGGCTTTTTGGGCCACGCCTGGGGCCGTGACCCTACTAGCCCCAGGCCCAAATCCACCCCTGGGTGACATGGAGCGAGAAAGTAGTAAACCTCCCTTCTAGGATAGGACTAACTACCCGTACAAAAAAGTTTGGAGGTCTGCTTACTTGCAGAGCATCAATTTAAAAGTTTGGGAGATTTGCTTGACTCATGACTACCTGGTCTTGGCGGGTCGGGTTGATCAGCTCCAAATTGATCAACACGAGGCCAACAATAAGGCCTAAAATGTTATTTCATGAGTCTCTCTTTGCCTAAGTGCGACCATGATTCAAATCTTAAGATGGCTCATGAGATCTGGTCTACCTTACAGAGGTATCCCGAGGCCACATCCCATGTCAAAACCAGACTCTTTGAGACACACCGTCGAGAGTATGAACTTTGTGCAGCTTTCTAGAGAGTCAGTTGATTTGATGTTTTCGAGGTTTCAATCCATTGTGGACAAGATGCGTGTTAACAAGTCGCAGCTACCCTATGACGATCATGAGAGGGCCCCAAAACTGCTACTATAACAACCCTAAAAATCCTAGAGCCAAAAATCCAAACCTTTTTAAACTTTTCCCGAAACCTTGCATAGCGAGTGGACATACTAGAAAACTTTTCCGAAAGTTTTTGTTCTTTTTAGTCCAATTTGTAATTTCTGAAAAATCTTTTACAATGGTGGTTTCCTTAAGAAAACTGGCTGTCTAAATATTTATACAGTGGTGGTTCTTAGATGATATCGGTGAAGTTTGCTGATTTTTATTGGCCTTTCACTCTAGCGGTTGGTAAAAGCGCCAATCAAAATATTTTCTATATTAGTGAGGATTTTTTTAGTTTAATTAAAGTTCAATTTTAATTTAAAGTTGAATTTTACTATTTCTAAACTTTGGGCTTTCTAGACATGGCTCTATCCCATGTTAAAGTATGTAACTTGTATATTTTTTCTCAAGTTTGCTTAAGTGTTTGACAAAATTGTTAACTACTCAGCTCTGTAAAGTTCATTAATCAATCAAGTCAAAACCTAAGTTTTAACCATTTTTTAGGATTTTATTGTTGGGGATTTAACCTCGGACAACGCATTCCCTCAAGCCAACTAACAATCTTTTGCTAATGAATTGCCTTCATTTTTTGAGTTATACTTGTCAAATAGGAACGACTTCGTATCAATGAGCATTTGTGGAACCTTCGAAAGTATACAACGAGAAGCCTAGTGGACAAATAAGCAAAGTTGAAGGCAGATGCCCGAATATATTCAATCCACTCCGAGAAGAGGCGAAGCCAAAGAATAAGATACGAAGATAGTCAATCATCCACTTTGCGTTGAAGCGAAGATGAATGCGAGCAAATCGAAGTTGACTTGTCTTGAGATTGCAAAGACACCCTTCACAAAGTTAAGAAGAAGAGATAGGAGAACACTGTTAGTTGTACAATGTCTAAATTACCCTTGAATGTAAAGAAAGCTTTTAATACTTGTAGCAATTGTCCTGGGGTAGAATGGAGATTGTGCTAGGATTAACGAAGGCTCCAACCCCTATAATTACCCCCAAAATGTACTGTTCCTTGACACGAAATCAGTATTCAATAGAGTTAATTCCACTCTTTGATGCTGGCATGATTATTATTCATCCAACATTTGTTTTAACAACTTGTGGACAAAACTTTACTAAAAGTTGGTTAGAAGTTTAATTAGAGATGTTTGAGCTTTTAATAATTGTTTATTATGTCACATATGTTGTACTACCTAGAAAGCTTTTGTAAAGTCGCTTAAACATCATCATTTCATATGATTACTTAAGTTCAAAACATCTCATGTACATACATTGATATATACGAGTTAGTGTCGTCACCAGCTTCGGTGAATTATCCTTGATTAATAAGTACATCACCTCGTTGGAGAGACATAGTCAAATTTTATAGACAACCTCCTACTCCATTCTCTTTCATTCTTCATCAGTTGTCTGGTTTAGTTTGGTGCCCTCAACAACTTCATTCAATTCTTGTTGGATATGCACATCTATTATGGGACACAACCACATTAAAAAAAATTTACCGCCAAACTTCTATACTTGATTCCACATCCCTGACATCATTTAATTTCGTGCTTACTTGCCCTGCCAACCTTCTTACAAAATTAAATCAATCTGACCTTGGCTCTGATTGCACTTGTCATAATTTGATACCCCTAGTTGTACACAATAGTCCTCAAATCTTTGAAAGTACATTGCAAGTATGAAATAAGCTCACACCATATCAAGAAATACAAAGATGAGTATATAGAAAATCCTAAATGACGATGCTGAAGAAACCACAACAAGAGATTAGTATTTTGATAAAGTCAACCGGAAGTTCTATATATAAACACAACTCTAAAATAGTATAAATGATTGTTGATCTCTCACAGCCTTACTTAATCTATCGGAACCGTAGATTCTTGCTGTAAACAAAGAATCTAGTGCAATAGAACTGTCTAGTCTAATCCTATTAGGCACTTCTAATTACTCTTTACAGGCCTTGACTGAAACCCTTTGTGCCGGCTTGGTTGATGCCTATGATTTCCACCCCTTATTTATATAGTTAAAAGTTGTATTCCTGATAACATAAGAATTTATACTTAAATCTTAATATAATTAGAAGTTGTAATAGCATGCCTCCATCGAGTCCTAGTCGTAAGTTTGAATTAAACTTATCATCCGCGTTTGGACAACGGCACCATATGACATGGATTGTAACGACACACGCTGGGACCAGTGGCGGACCCAGCCGAAAATATGAGCTAGGGCGGATCGCTATGTACAGGTACAAAACTTAACCGATATACCGGTCTAACTATGTATGTATATCATATCTATATTGTAATGTCACATAACAATTATGTTCTAATATATAATTCAACAAACAAAAGGTACATAAGAAGTTTGAACATGATTACCTTTCACATGAAGAGCACATAAGGAGAATTTTTGTTCCATAGTACGTCTAGATAATTTACCATACAAGAAATGATCAAAAGAAAAAGCAGAAACAACCTGCAATTAAAATAAATTTAGTAATGAGTAAGTGACAAGTGAGGGAATATGTAAAAAAGTGTCAAACATTGTAGGAAAACATACCAATCCTATAACTCTAAGAACATCGAGGCCGCTTTGGAGGTAAACTCATCTTCCGATCTTTCATGGATTGAAATGTCATCTTAATTTTCTCAGGATCAAGTTCTCTAAAAATCTCCTTCTCAATGTAGCACAAAGTCAAGTCCTTAAGCCACTCATCATTCATTTTATTTCACAAATCAGTCTTGATTATATTCATAGCTGAGAAAGCTCTTTCAACTGATGCCGTTGCCACTGGAAGAAGCAATGCTAGCTCAATGATGTGATAGACTAATGGAAAACCAAGGTGTGCCTTACTTTGAACCAACTTTATGGCCAAACTTGCAAAATCATGACAAGCTCTGAAATCATCAACTCTTCGCACATGTAAAATGATCAACAATTGGTTATACGAGCAACAATTGGTTATTCTCAAGTTCATCTCTTATATTAGAACGATCAACAATTGAAAAATCTTGATCATAGATCTCCGTTATACGAGCAATCTTCTCCAAATCAAACATAGAGAATGAATCTCTTGGATCAAGACAAGAGAAGCAAATAAGTAACTCTGATGATACCTCATTGAAGCGATGATCCATCTCTGTAAGAATAGCATCAAGTGCAGCCAAGAAAGTGTCAACACGATAATGATGTTCTTTAGTTATTAAGTCATCATCAAGCCTTGATCGACCCCATCTTGGTCTACGCTCACTGAAATCTGGCAACTTTATATTTTTTGCAACACAAAAGGCTTTTACTTCTTCAAATAATGGATGTTTTCAACCTGGATTCAGGAGCAAGGTGCACACGCATACACCTTGTACTGTTTCTACTGGATGTGGCTCTGAATCTCGTAGCTCTTCTTGTTCTTCAGATTCAGGAACAACAACATTACCGCTTTCACGAGTACTTGGCCCCGAGTTGCTTCCACTTGTGGAATTTGTACTAGGAAAAAAGCTTTTCAAATCTGCAAAACCAATTAACCATTGAATTGATTTCACCAGTCAGAGACCAATCTCTACCTATTTAATTGACTAACAATTTGCAATGGATAATGGATTCATGACAGTACCTAATTTCTTATACCGCTTCTTGCTCAATGGAGTTGGAGCCGCTGGCCTCCTCGTCGTCACCGGGTTAGACGCATCGCCGGCTCCAGCTTCATCTCCTCCTCCTCCATCCATCTGCTGCTGCCTGCTCTCCGTAGAGGCCACCCGGGCGCAGCCGCGCAGGGCCGCCCGCCGTTGCTTGCTCGCCTAGCTGGCCGCCGGCTTGGAAATGGGGGGAGCGCCGTGCTGCCGCAGCCGCCAGCCAGTTGGAGCGCCGCCGCCCGCCGAGCGCCCGAGCTGCGAGCCTGGCAGCCTGCGATGCTGATGCGGCGCGCCTGTGTGCGATGCGGGGCGCCCCTGGCCCCTTGCGGCTAGCCCTAAGGGCCAAAATGGGCCAGAAAATGGGCCTTTTTGGCCAGACGGCCCAGCAAAGCAAAGCTGCATGCCTTGGCCTTCTTCAACCTCACGCACTCGCCTGTCGCCTCGCTGGCCGCCGCCGCTCGCTCACACGCTGCTCGCCGGCCGGACTGCCCGAGAACTAGGGGGTACTAGTGGTGCTCGCCGGAGGGGACCTAGGGCGGCCGCCCAAGCTCGGCCTATAGGTCGGTCCGCCTCTGGCTGGGCCCATCCAAGCCAGGAACTGTTGCCGTGATGGGTAGACAGATTGCAACATGATGGGGTCAACTCTCTGGTCTCCACGTCAAAATAAGTAATTGCGCTTAAAAACATTGGACCGAGGGAGTAAACCGTTAGTGACCAAATTCCAAAAGGTACTCGTTCCTACTTTTTTTTTATTATTGTACCTAACTGCTAGTATAATCCAAGAGCGCAGACCAGAGTCCGTCATTTGATCATAGTAATCAGGAAAAGGCCAAGTAAGAGCATCTCCAGTAAAGCCTCTACTTAAGCTCTCATCCTACTTTTAAAGGCCAAAGTTAAACAAAAACTCACTCTAGCGGGGCTCCTACTAAAGCCCTCAAATTCAAGAGGTCCTGTTTTGGGGGCTCATGCTGGAGTTCAGTCCAGAAAACAGAGCCCTCAAAAATAGAGATACGTCTCAAATAAAAAGTAGCGACCTTATTTTGAAGACTATTGCTGGAGTTGTTCTAACCTAGCTAGGAACTGACAAATCAACGATCGAGACATCATATGTTGAATCAACAATCGCAAGCACTTCAGGTCAAGTCTTGTGGAAAATATGGGTTCGACGCTGCTCACGGGAAAAATTTTCCACTCGCAGACGGAGTTGTGGTGGTAGTGTAGTGGCTGGTGCGAGTGCTCTCTGCCTTGACGCCAAGCGGGGATATCAGGGCTTTAAGAAATTTCGCCGGTTGGGTCGACTTCCGCTGCCAAAAATAAGTCCTGTTTCCTCCGTCTTTTCATGGCCCTTCTACTTCAAGTCCAAAACAAGTGAGAATACAGGTGTAAAAAGTTGACTTTTGCTGGAGTTACCTACACTTACGCTGGCTTATACGGTGAACGTAAATAGTACTTCTGTTATTTTTCTCATTGTCTTATTTATTGGGAAAACACAGCGACGGCTAATTTAACATCACGTCTCTCATCTATATCTATATCTATATACCTAATAATAAAGAGACAAAATTTCAGGCTATTTTTTTCGTCCATCCATTTTCTTGGTCTGTCTCTCTCTAATTACCGGACAATGGAGAGTTTCTTCTATCCGAACTTAAATATATAACCCGTACTCGTACACAGCATATTGTACATGAAAAACCAACAAAGAAAACAAAACAAAACTGTATTAGGACTCCAACACATCATATGTCTTCCACCTCCTGGTCGCCACCGTCTGCCCCCACACGGCCACATCCCATCTCCCACCCACACCAAAACATGCATTGCGCAGGGATCGAATCGGTTTTTGGCTAGCAATTTGATGACGCTCTCCGGTAAAAAGAAAACGTGCTAGCACGTGGACCAAATCGGTTTCCTCTACCAAGGAACAAGCTCACCTCCTGGCCGTCTCCGTCCGTCTCCCACATGGCCACATCGCATCTGGCGCCCACACCAAAACATGTTAGAAATTTAGGTATTTTCATATTAAAATTAATCTAGAAAATAATAATAAATTTGTGATGACAAATATGTATATGTGTGTGATTTTACTATTGCTTAGATTAGTAACAAATATGTTCATAAACAACATACTGATTATAGCAAAAATGAGATTAAATTTAACCAATTTGAGAATAGAGATGTACCCTACGGAGAGACCCATGCTCAAAGCACCGGTGGCTCCAGTCCCACTCATGGTGTGTTGCTTGAAGTCGCAAACCACAATCGGTGCAAGAAGATGTATGCAGTGCAGTCCCTTGAACGTCCACCGGGAAGTAGATGATTCGAGGAAGGAGAAGAAGACATCGACAGTCACCAGGAAGAAACGAGCAGTCGCGAAGACGCTCTCCAAAAACCTGATTGCCCGCACACCTGAGCAGATGTCACAGATGCAGACGGTGGTTCTAGAGGCCTGCTCTCCTAACTCTCCGTGCGCAGAGGATCAGGACGTAGAAACTTAGAAGGCAACGCAGTAGTGAGAAGTGGAAAACACTAATTGACTATCTTAAGATTTTCCGAACTAGAAACTTCCAATGATAGTTCTATTGTTGTTATGTCTTTTCCTAAGAGGATTGGTATATATATAGGGAAAAGAACTCCCTACCTCCACATCAACTAGCAATATGGTACTAATTGACGTTGCACCTTCCACCTCTACTCATGGACTAAAACAATAAAGCCCATTAAGGAACACATATATTGGGCCTTTGAGATTTATCAGAATTTCTTCATATGAATTTAGGGAATTTTATCCATATAAATTCTAACAATCCCCACCATATTTCAAAAGCCCAGTATAGATATTTTCTTTATCCCACTACTGTTTATATACTAGTGTTTTTCGGCAGAGACCGTTAAGTTGAACATCCGCTTAGAGCTTCAAGCTACACCCATCCACAATTTGAACAATAGACTACGCCTTAAATTGCAAGTTTTGTGTGAAAGAGTTTCACCTAAACTCTTTACTCATACTAGGTAGCCAAAAGCATCCCCTCTAGTTGGAGCATATAAGTCATACTCCTGGGCCTTTCATGAGTATCTAGATATCACCCAAATCTCATTGACTGGTAGTCGAACTCATATATGTGTATTCCTCAAAAGATGTTCTATAGGACATCTTTGCTTCAGCAAGCCACTTGAAACACATTAAGGTAAAAACCAAACTGCCTTACAGCAAAGGAAAGACGTGCATCTGACATTGTCCAAGTTAAGGGTCGTTCCTCATAGTCTACCACTGGCTTGTTTAACCATCCTACTTTATGGGATCTCCGATCACATAGAACATGTTACCACCATGATAGACTTCATATGGATCTCAAGTCCATTTCACTCGATGCACTATCTATCACATTACGTGACAGCCCCTTAGTGAATTGATCTGCCAGATTTTTAGATGTGTGGACATAGTCCGACGCTATCACTCCGGAGTTTCTCAATTTTATGACAGATTTTAATCTCCACTTAACATGCCTTGTGGACTTCATGTTATCCTTAGAATTGTTTACCTTAGTTATCACAGTTTGGTTGTCACAGTTCATATAAATAGACGGTATAGGTTTCTCTATAACCGGTAAATCCATAAGGAGTTTACGAAGCCACTCGGCCTCAGCGCCAGCAATGTCTAATGCTGTGAGTTCTGCTTCCATAGTTGACTTCGTTAGAACGGTTTGCTTGCAAGACTTCTAGAAAACAACGCCACCTCCAAGCAAGAACACATATTCGCTTGTGGCATAAAGCTCATCAGTATCATATATCCAGTTAGCATCACAGAAACCCTCTAGTACCTTCAGGTACCTGGTATAGTGAATGCCATAGCTCATAGTACCTTTGAGATAACGCAGTACTATCTCAAGAGCACGCCAATGATTATCTCCCGGATTTGACACAAACCGGCTTAGTTTGCTCATAGCAAATGAGATATCAGGCCTCGTAGCGCTAGCCAGATACATAAGCGATCCAATAATTTGGGAGTATCCAATTAATCGCTTGCTATTCTTCGATTTTTCCTTAATAGCACACTAGGGTCATAAGGCGTAGGAGCAGGTTGCCGGTCACTAAACCCAAAGCGACTCAATACCTTTTCCACATAGTGGGATTTTTAAAGTGTAACCCCACCATTACCTTCTCTTAACAGCTTGACATTAAGAATAACATCAGCTTCTCCCAAGTTTTTCATCTCAAAATTATGAGACAACAGGTCTTTAACTTCCTTAATCACATTAAGGCTGGTTCCAAAGATCAGTATGTCATCAACATATAAACACAAGATCACTCCTTCGCCCCCACCAGACCAATAGTATACACATGTGTCAGCTTCATTTACAACAAAGCCGACATATGTTAAAGTTCTGTCAAACTTCTCATGCCACAGCTTAGGAGCTTGTTTCAGGCCATGTAAGGACTTCAATAACTTACACACCATGTCCTCTTGACCATTTGCTACAAATCTATCTGGCTAATCCATATAGATCTCCTCCTCTAACTCTCCGTTTAGGAAAGCCGTCTTAAATCCATTTGATGAATGATAAGACCATGAGAGGCAGCTAGAGAAAGTAACACTCAAATTGTGGTCAATCGAGTAATAGGTGAATAAGTATCGAAGAAATCCTTACCTTCTTTCTGGGTATAACCCTTGGCCACAAGCCTACCTTGTACCTCTCAATTGTACCATCAGGCCTAAGCTTTTTCTTGAACACCCATTTGCATCCTATGGTTTACACCCATAAGGACGTTCAACAATTCCCCAAGTTTCATTAGACATAATTGAATCCATCTCACTCCGTACTGCTTCCTTCCACAAGTCAGCATCAGGAGAAGAATATGTCTCTTCAATGGTTCTTAGTATGTCATCCACAAAGTACACAATCTAGTCATCACCAAAAGCTTTGCCATCCGTTGTCTCTTACTCTTTTGAGTGACTACAATGTCATCCTTCTTAGGATTGTGCATATAGGGTTCCTCAGAATGTTCTATCGGAATAAATTGCTTATGGGGAATTTAGGTTCATGACTAGACGTGCTAGGCGCATTTTTCATGAGAAAATCACTTAAAAAATG